CTCTTCTGCACGATCACCTTCTAAACCTGGTGGGGGGGGGAAAGAAAAACATTTGAAAACGAGGGGTGAGCTAGAAATGCTCAGTGAGTGGGGAATGGTTTAGTATGTAATAAAACATTTCAATATACAATAAAAACACTCATGCTTATACAATTTCATTTCCGTATACACATTTTATAATATGAGCCATCTTTCATAACACATGTTGAAATCTCTCATGGCAAGATTTCTTTGTGAACACTATTATGGTAAACAAATAAACACTCATGTTTATCTAAAAACATCATTTCTAAGAAACAGTTCATATACGGATAACATTTACATTTATAAGTTCCCATTTTCAAATAGATGATATACATATATGTACATATCCAAATAATCTCTCAATCACATGTGAAAACTCTCACCCAACTAGTACCCTAGGGAAAATCTGTCATACTTGATGGGCGTCCCACACGCAGGCAGAGCGAGGGACATACCTGTCATACCCGGCAAGATCTATCATCACACGGGCAAAGCCACTGAAACTGTCATACCTGGCGAACCACTCAATGCCCAGGCAGAGCCAATAAAATCTGTCATACCTGGCGGACCACTCAACGCCCAGGCAGAGCCAATGAAATCTGTCATACCTGGCGGACCACTCAACGCCCAGGCAGAGCCAATAAAATCTGTCATACCTGGCGGAATCCTGCATCGCTTGGGCAGAGCCAAAAATCTGTATCTCTGGGGGATGGGTACTTCGTAGGATGGTTTTAGCACCACAACAATCTCATGCATAATTTCAAGTAACATGTAAGTCAAGAGTATATTACGTATGTACTTATAAATCATAAACAAATATCACTTTTAAAAGTCAAAACTCATGTAACACATTATAATTATAATTAAATCTAAGAGCAAAAATAATAATAATATATGAATATTCCCTATAAGGATAAGACATGCCAACATATGAGATTTCATGGAAAATACTGGGGTGAGCACGGGTAGCGTGTAGAATCGGAACCGGAGGGTAGAACCGGAACCGGAACTTACTTGGAACCGGTACTGTGCAGGTAGGTTCCGGTTCTAATTTTTTGGAACCAATACTGTGCGGTTCCGGTTCCGATTCTTGTGTGTGGAGGAACCAGATCCGGAACCTATAAAAAGGGTACCCTGTTTGGAACCTGTAGGGGGTACCCGATTTGGAACCAATTTTTGGAACTTGTTTGGGAACCTGTTTTGGAACTTATTTTGGAACCTGAACTACAATGAAATATTTGTGAAATGTGAATAATGGAGGGTTTCTATTATTTTACATATAAAAAAATTTAAAATATAAAAAGTTAAATTTTTAGAATAACCTAATTAAATAAATATACTAATACAATTATCCTTATTACATATTAATTACACCATATTAAAAGCTTTAGTATATTATAATACATTAATATTAAAGTTTTGATTAATTAAGTGAATAATTGGAATTATGATCCAATTAAAAGAGTTTTACATTTTTAATGTTATTAAAAGAATTATTTTTGAATAAAATAGTATATTTGATTGAGTAATAATATATTTAGTTATTTACTTCAATTATCAAGTTTTAAGTATATCTATAATAAATTAGTAATTAATTAATTATATATGATAAATTGATAAACATTAATAAATTTAATTACTAGTTAAATATCATACTTAATCAATTATAACATTACATTATAGTTAAATGATTACTTAATTAATTATAATTTTATAACATTACTTAATTGATTTATAGTATAATTAATTATAGCATTACATTAATTGATTACTACTTAATTAATTNTATTCCAAATAATCAACTTACACATAACTTTTAAATGCGTGAAACAATAAACATCAAGTACCATGCAACTTGAAAAATGCAAACTTTAGAAAAGGATTCAATGCATTTTCCACTTACAAAAATTTCCAGATTTCATCAAGACATGGTGCTAGAATCGAAACTGGACATGCAGCACTTTAAAGTCAGCTCAGCCGACACATGCAAGACAGATTTAACAAGATATCACACCAAAATTTGGATCAAACACTATAATAGAAATCAACACTTTACATGCAAACAGGAATTGAGTTTTTAAAAGAGTTTTTGGCTGGTCCACTCACCATTCAGCTCAACCGAACTAAAAATTGAAGGCTCAAGCACTCTCCTCCATTCTTCTCCTTCGTTCCTAGCATCAGAACAATAATGGGTTAATTTCTCTTGGATTGAAGAAGAAATTTAGAATCTCTACCTCCCAATCTACATGCATGGACTATTAGAAACTGGGTTATGGCCGATCTGCTATTTTTCTTTCTTCTCCCCAATTCTATTTCGTTTCATTTCCTCCATTGCTCTGTCGCTCAACCTCTCGGCCAACCCACTCTTTCTTCTCTTCTCCTTTTTCTTTTCTTTCTCTCGGGTTTCTTCTTTCATCTTTCTTCTTCTTCATATTTTATATTTTTAGTCTTTCTAAATTTATACTTCTGCCCCTAGATTACAGGTAATCCCGCTAAACCCCTACCACATCAGCATTTCTTTCAAATAAACCTCCAGATTTTGCCCCCTGTTACATGCAAACCCAACAGCTTACTTATCTTGCAATTTCATTCCCAATAAAACTTTTAAAAACTAATAGAAATCCGCTTCCATAAAAATAAAATCACACAGAATATGTAATATGTATTAGGATTAAAAACGGGGTTTCACAATTATTGTTTTTTTCTTCCTTACCGGCATCGGATTGACTCTCTGAGTTCCCATTGAAATCTGGTTTGAAGTTGAAAATGTGTCTATAAACATTAATCTGTTCGATAAGGCGGAAGGATTTTATGTTCTTCATTGTTTGATGTATTGTATTATAGAAACTACATGATTCATTGAAGAGAGATGAGTTATAATAACACATTATGAGTCTGTTAGCAGGAAGATGTATTCTTCAATTATGTTCCTTATGGATCACATCTTCTAAACAACTGATAATTTGTTTCATTTCTTGTCTGCTCTGAAAGATGGGGGAACTCAAAAAACTAGTTGAAGAAGGTAAAATAAAGTACATAGGTCTATCTCAAGGTTTTGCTTCGACAATTAGACGAGCTCATGCTGTTCATCTGATAACAGTTGTGCAGTTGGAATGGTCCTTATGATCACGAGATGTGGAGGTAGAAGTAATTCCTACTTGCAGGTGAACAATATTTGAGATTAAATGGTTTAGAGTCAAGGAAACAGATTACAGAATTAATGTTACAAATTATAATGGAATCCTGCTCATAATTGATCAGGGAACTTGGCATTGGAATTGTTGCTTACAGTCCTCTCGGACGAGGATTTCTTTCATCAGGGCCTAAGTTGCTTGAAAGCATCTCTAAGGATGATGTTAGACAGGTTTGTAAACATACAATTCAATTACTAGTATCTGAAATTTAGTGCATCTGCATTTGGCCTCACTTTTTTTAATCATATAATCTCCGAAAGCTTTTATAAGTTGTTTGTGGGGAAAGGCAGTTAATGAAATTTTATGATCTCATGTGATTAAAACTTTGGAATTGCAGCATCATCCCAGATTCCGACCTGAAAATATGGAGCACAACAAACTGCTGTTTGAGCGTGTTAACGAAATAGCGACGAAGAAGGGATGCACCCCATCACAGCTTGCGCTAGCCTGGGTTCATCACCAGGGAGATGATGTCTGTCCAATTCCTGGAACCACCAAGATTGATAATTTCAATCAAAATGTCAAAGCATTGTCTGTGAAACTGACTCCAGAAGAGATGGCTGAACTTGAATCCATTACCGCCGCGGGTGCTGTAAAGGGTGATAGACAGTGGGGAAATTTCCCTAGTTACAAGAACTCTGAAACTCCAGCCCTGTCTTCATGGAGACCTTCTTGAAAGCATGTTGTTAGACTTTGTTTATCTGCCTCCTTGCCATACTTATAATGTTGATGCTCTTGCCTAGCAGTTTAAGCTTTTTAGCCAAATGTTTGAGTCAAATGATTACTTAACGTCTATCAAGTATGTATGTAATCGCGTTAAATACACTTACTTTTTGTTTTTATCCATCAGGTGGTCTCAAAATATGGAATTTAGATGATTCTTTTAAGCTTTTGAACTTTGGTAAGTTGCTAAGAAATCTAATTATAGATAAACCTTTCTGTGAAACTATCTTCAGAACTTGCTTAACTTAAATCCAGAGCTTAAGCAAATGCATTTTCGCCATGGTTATTCTAACGTCTTGGTACTTTCATGCACTTTCTGCAGGCTTAGAAGTTCTATGCAATCGTGGTAAGCTAAGATAATTCTTATAATATGATATTATGCATTATATGTCAAAAAGAAATCTGAAATTAAGGAAATTAAGTTCATAAGGAGGGCATTGCTGAAAAAAGATTAAAATGTTAACGATGCATTCTGAAATTTCAGATTTCAGGGGCCATAACTGTTAAAATGTAATAACTACTTAGCATACATGTATTTTGTTGTGGCACCACATCAGGAATACCAGTGTGATACTATAAACCTTTTTGAACAAAAAAACATCACATATAGACAATAAAGGCCACTTTTTCTCTAAAGTCACGATAACATATATCCCAACAAACAACAGGGTGTTCGAAGCTTGTTAAACTCAATAGAACAACAGGTACATCCAAAAACTCGAAGGTGGCTATATTTCGGGGAAATTTCGTAAACACATTTATATAGAGATGGACTTTGAAAGACAGAAGAAGAAGTATGATTCATGCTGATGCTGTTAACGATAGAAAAAAAAAAAGAAAAAAATTCACATCACACATGCAAATAGTCAGGATAACTTTTTAAAAGACCAGCAAAATCGTCCTTTCAGTTTATGGTACTGTAGCATGATCCAACTCCTTTGAATTTTCAGGATGCTATCATTTTCCAACAAACAGTCTTGGTTTTGCTTTTACTTTTTGTCTTTTGGAAAATAATGGACTCCCTTCTGTAATTTTCCCCACTTTTCAAGATATTTTTCATAAATGCTTAATTCAGCATGAAACTATATATAAAAGCATACAAGGGGAAGTTGTTTCAAGAACCCTACAAGCCTTAAAGCTTTACTGGTATACAGTGGCTTAAGTTACTGCATGCGGCCAAGTTTCAACGCCATGGCGACGGCAAGTGTGAGGAGAATGAAGCTTGGTTCACAAGGCCTGGAAGTATCAGCTCAAGGCTTAGGATGCTTTGGCATGTCAGGTTTTTATGGCTCCCCAAAGCCTGAACCTGAAATGATCTCTTTGATCCACCATGCCATTAACAGTGGTGTTACTTTCTTTGACACCTCTGAAGCTTATGGGCCTCTCACCAATGAAATCCTTCTTGGCAAGGTTCCCTACTCTCTCTCTCTCTCTCTCTCTCTGCTTTATTGATAAAAATTTAGTACAAGAATTTAGGGTTTTGCTAACCTCATGGGCGAGATTTTTTTTCTTTTTTTTGTTACACTCCTAACCGTATTTACATCAGTTTTTCCAAACCTTAATGACTGAATTTCTTGATAACATCAATTTGAATCTGCCTACAGGACTAAAACTTTCCTTTTATTCCAACCCAAGTCTAATTTTTCTTTGACTAGATTACCAATTTTTCCAAAATTTGTTATATTAAAACTTGTGAATTTGTCCATATAGGCTCTGAAGGGAGGGATGAGAGAAAAAGTTGAATTGGCTACTAAATTTGGTATAAACCATGGGGATGATGGCAAGATGGAAATACGTGGTGATCCAGCTTATGTGAGAGCTGCCTGTGAGGGGAGCTTGAACCGCCTTGGTGTTGATTATATTGATCTTTATTATCAGCATCGGATTGACACTCGAGTACCCATTGAAGTCACGGTTTGCCCCTCGTTAAACTTTTCATTTAACCTTCTCCTCTACCCACCTTGGTGAGTGGGGTTAGGAGAATTACGATCATTGTCTATTGTTCTATCCACCTCATTACCCACCTTATAAAATGGGCTTAGAAAGAGTTCCCAACTCAAATCTGGATATCTAATTTTAGTCTAAAGATTTATGATGCTTTATTGAATTGGCTGTTTTTGGAAGTCATGGTTTGTAGAAGTAAAGTCTAAGCAATTGGCCCCATCATGACTTTATGGTTTTACTTTTATCTGTTTGATTGAAAGAGGGGTTGGGTTGGATTCTGTTTGTGTCATCAATTTGACCAAATCAAAGTTTCATTCAATTGATTTAGTGTTCTTCCTCTTTCTCTGTTTCTTTTTCGGAAGATTCCCCATTTTTTACCCATAAGAAACTTTCCAATGTCAGGTTTTTATGCTTAAATATCTTTTCATATTATTAACAATAAACCACAAATCTTGCATGTCATCACATAAAATCTCATTCCAGGAGAGGATATTTGTCAATTTTCTATTTTGTGAGTGAAATCTTCATGCGGAAACTCAAATTATTTTGATATTACTTAAGAACATGTAAACATAAAACAGCCTAAAGATCTTGTTGGATCATGAGCAACAACCGCTCAGAAGCATACACTAATTCTTTGATCTTTTTTGGTGTGTTTTGCAAGATGGGGGAACTGAAAAAACTAGTTGAAGAGGGTAAAATAAAGTATATAGGTCTATCCGAAGCTTCTGCTTCGACAATTAGACGTGCTCACGCTGTTCATCCGATAACAGCAGTGCAATTGGAATGGTCCTTATGGGCAAGAGATGTGGAAGAAGAGATAGTTCCCACATGCAGGTAACACATTATCCAGACTAAACTGTTTATAGAAATGATGTTAAATTCTAATGGAATCCTGCTCATAATTGATCAGGGAACTTGGCATTGGAATTGTCGCATACAGTCCTCTGGGACGAGGATTCCTTTCATCTGGGCCTAAATTGATTGACAGCTTTTCAAAGGATGATGTTAGACAGGTTCATGAACTTACAGTTCAATTCTTAGTATCTTCTTATGGCTTTTACCTTAATTTTCTGCTAAAACGTTTTGGAATTTGATTAATTCATCATCCTGAGCATTCAATGGAAGCTAGAGCAACAGCCTACTCCAAGGCCAGGCGGGGCAAGTGAGATCACTTTCTCCGTAGTTATAGCTCTGGCTTTGTCAATTATCGGATCTAATCAAGTAGACAATGCTCGGGTTTAACCGAGTACGTAGTTAATTTTGAGCTTCACGCAAACGTCCTTCACCAAAAACGCATCTATTTAGTTATGGATGTTGGAGTTGTTGACTACTTCAGAATTAATGGGTTAAGTAGACGCAATCGGGGGTCCTGCTGACTGGGAGCCCAGTTACCCAGTGCGCAGGCGGGGGTCACGGGGGCAATACCCCCGAGCCCCTAAGCTGTTAGGGTTTTTTTTTTTTTTTCATGTATAACTGCTGTGAGATTTCTTTAATTCATTAATTCTTTATTGGGTTTAGATTTAGGAATAGAAATCCTTATAAAACTAGGTTTAATCTTTTAAACTTAGTATATAAACATATTTCTCAATTGTTATGAGGGTGATAGCAATCATAAGACAATTCATTCATTGTAAACGAGAAAAATGAGGAAGTATTGCAATAATATTGACTCAATTGGACGTGGTCCAAAATGAGTGAATCAGGATAAATCGCACGTATTATTTTTTCTCTGTATTGTCTGTGATTTGTTTGTTTGTTATATTGGTTTCATATTTGTCTCTATTTTGTTCAATGGAGACCCAAACCTTATAAAGTGAATCCAAGCGAATGAAGCTCATATGTTGCTTATCATCAGAATTTGTCTTGTTGCCCATCCCTATGGTCCTAAACCCTCTCTCTGGCTTTGCTTATTTCTGTCTTGGATGGCTGCCACTGGTTATAGGAATTTAGGCATCATTGCAAATGCCTGAATTAGTCTTTTTGCTGAAACCATTTTGGCCGCTCTTATCTTACTGATTTAATATCAGTTCCGGTCCTGAAATTCATCTTCAACTTTGGCAGCGTTTCCCGAGGTTCCAACCCGAAAATCTGGAGCACAACAAACTGCTATTCGAGCGCGTAAGTGAAATCGCAACAAAGAAGGGATGCACGCCGTCACAGCTTGCACTAGCCTGGATTCATCACCAGGGAGATGATGTCTGTCCAATTCCTGGAACCACAAAGATTGAGAACCTCAATCAGAATATTAAAGCGTTGTCTGTGAAACTGACGCTGCAAGAAATAGCTGAACTTGAATCCATCACTTCGGCGGATGCTGTGAAGGGTGATAGATATTGGAGTGGTTTTCCTACTTACAAGGAATCGGAAACGCCGTCACTGTCTTCATGGAGAGCTTCTTGAAGTTGAAATTCCTGCAGAGTTTGCATTCTGCTGATGCCTTTAACTTCATGCAATTTATGCAAGGCTAAGTATTTTCTGTAAAATTATTATGCCTGATTCTGATATGGAGAAGAGCATAGCAGTTTAGTATTTTGGCCAATAAACAGAGTGTTCTGTCTGTAATTCATCATTTAAAACTCATCAATCATATCATTGATTTACCTGTGTTTGACGTTGGGAATTTGATATTTTCATATTCTGAAGGGGTATTATTGTAATTAAAGATGTGCTAGCTTAGAATTATAAATACATTTTTTTTTAGTTTTTTTTCTTTCTTTTTTCTTTTTTCAATAAAAGGCATAAAGCATCACACTAGAGAGTCTTTGTAAAGGGAAAATAATACAGCTACCGATAGTAATGCACCGAATGACGTGACAAAATCTTGATCGTTGATTAATTTTAACTTAATATTAATCAACGATCAGGATTTTGTTACGTCATTCGATGCACAAATTCGGTGCACTATTATCGGTGGCTGTAGGATTACTCTTTTGTAAAATCTAGATATTTTCTTTAATTAAATTCAATTACACATTCCATTATTTATCATATGTTTTAATTGAGTTTGTATCACAAGATTTATTATTGCTTAGATCATGTGGATTACGGATCATAAAATGTGTACCTTTAAAATAATATAGAACACTTAGTAAGACCGATAACCATATAATTAAGAATAAATTACTTTTTCCCATCCAAGGTTTGCCTTATTAATATTTTTCTATCTAAAAAGTTTCAAAATGTCACTTTTCTATTCGAAATTAATATTTCGATACTACCGAAAGTTGAAAGCCGAATCGGACGATGAAAATTCTTTTTCGTCACCACCATTTGGACCTCCGATTTCCTCTTTACAAAACCCCACTCACTTAAGAATATGATTTCTCGCCGATTGCTGGCCATCGTAGAGCTAAGGTTTCTTGTTCTTAGTTGACTTCCGACTGATTCCGATGACGAATATTTAATCAGTCACCACCATTTGATCCACCGACCTATACTTTACAAAACCCCTCTTCCCTTGACTCCTGGTAACTCACTGAACGCAAAATGAGAAAGTGAAGAGTATTTTGGGTATCAACAGAATATAAACTTTGGTGGGAAAGTGGTATTTTGAAACTTTTTAAGTGAAAAGTGTCATTAAGGCAAACCTTGGGTGGGAAAGTGGTATTTTGAAACTTTTTGGGTGGAAAAGTGTCATTAAGGCAAACCTTGGGTGGGAAAAAGGGTTTTACTCTATCATTAATATTGATTCTTTTATTCAATAATGTTATACATTCTAAGTTTGTATTACAAACAAGGTAATCTATGTTCACAAACATTTTTCATTAACTTTTTCTCACAAACACAACGTAACAGTTCACAATTGATCGGCTCGCAATGAGTTCCACCTGATTAATTGCAAGCTGTCAAGTTACGTTTGTGAGAGAAAGTTAATAAGAAGAGTTTATCAACCTATCTTTATTGTTACAAATAATGTGCGTCATATTGATTTGTGATTGTTTAGCTTACATAATTCGAAAATGATAGAACTACCGAAGGTTGTACACCGAATCTGTGCACCAAATGACGTGGCAAAATCTTGACCATTGATTTATTATCAATTAATATTAATCAACGATCATGATTTTGTCACGTCATTCGGTGCACAACCTTCGGTTTCTGTAGTATTACTCTACATAATTATGTGATAGATATTTATTATTTGTTTATCTAACAATTATGTAGTAGAAAATATTTAGTGAAATGGGATGGCTTATGTCATCTATATAATTATTTACTATTATTATGTCATATATTATGAATAATGGATGGTAATCCTATAATATGCTCCACACCCTTATATCAAAAAAATTATTAAATTAGATTTTACTCTAAACTCGTTATAAAATTAGAATCATTTCTTCCCTATTATAAAAGTTAATGGCACTAACATTTAATTCATTATAATAAATGTAAAATAAAAATTAGTGTTCCACTCAATTTAAATAAATAACAGATTAATTGTATATACGTGAGACCGTTTAAATTAAACGCATCTAAAAAATTTTAAAACCACAAAAAGCTTCTGAAAATTACAAAAAATCCATTAGGTTATGATTTTATAATTATAAAATCATTTTTTATCAACTTTAGAAAAAATTATATACATTTTAAATTAAACGAACTTAAAAGTTTGATTAATGGTACAAAAATAATAGACAAACCTTGGAAGAAAAGTGTTGAACCCATAATAAGAAAATAAAAAGGGTTAAATACATTAATCCCCCTAAAATATAATAAAATAATAAAAATTTCCTTATCGTTAAGCATTGTTTTAAAACCTGGATAGGAGGACAACCCGTTTTGCTGCCCGAGTCACGGGTCAACCGGTCCAACCGGTTAGATCGATGACGTTAACTACAATTATTTAAAAAAAACATATTAATCCCTTAAATTTTAATATATTCAAAATTTTCCCTAAAAAAGTTCAAGTAGTCCCTAAAATTTTTATTTATTTCAAAAATACCCCCAAAAATTACCAATTAATCCATAAACGTTTGGCATATCTCCAAAACACCCTTATAAAATTACAATTAACTCTTATAATTTTGAAATATTACAAAAACCCCCAAAGACCTGAACCGGATCGGAGAAGTTGTCTGGTCTCGGTCGGACCGGCCGGTCTGGTCTAGTTTTTAAAACAGAGTCGTTAAGTTTTAAGTGTTAAAATAAACGATAAAAAGACAATTTAAGACAATTTGGTAATAGATTTTAACTTATAATACAGTAGATTTTAATGGTTTACTAATAATTCATTAATAGATGAGAGATTTTTGTTATTTAAAAATTTTAAGGAGATTTTGTTTTATAACAAACCTTAGGGGTCGATTTTAACCCCCAAGAAAATACTAAATTTGATGAGGAGTGTTATGTAATTTAACGAAAATAAATTTCTGTGCTTTTATTATTTTATTTCAAATGATCAGAATATCACGTGGAACTGGCATTAGCCACTGAGATTGAATTAAAAGCATCAGATATCTCTATGTAACAAATATGAGTCGTTGATCTCCATGTCTCTTTTTCGTGATTAAACGATTACTGATTGGTTGTCGAAACTTGTGACACAAAACAATTTCTTTAATTTGCAGGTGAAAATAAATTTCATAATATTACTCTTTTTTTTTTTTTTTTTTTAACTCTAAGCCTATACCAGGGAAAGTTAAACAGTGAAATTTGCTTATTCTCAAAATATTATTTAATTTCTTTTAAACCTTCTAAATTTATTAATTTACTAACACCCTCAATATTTTTTTATAAATTACAAAAATACCCCAGCAACCCACATTTACCAAATTCCAGCCACCATTGTAGGAAGCTGATTGGTATTTGATATAATGACACACTACTGGCTGAATATGACCGGTAGTGCATCGATCTAGCTTTTCTCGACTAGATCCACAGTGGATCTGACGGAAAAATGCCAAATCTACGACCAAAGATTTGGTCGTTAATGGCCAGAGCTTTGGCCATAGCCAGTCGTCAACGACGGCCAAGATATGGTCGTCATTAACGACCAAATACGGTCAGATTTGGCCGTCAATGGCCAAATCTAGCCATAGATTTAGTCGAAAAAGGTCATATCGGCGCACGACCGGCAAAATCCAGCCAGTCATGCGCTGATACGGCGACTCAGGCCATCCTCCGGTGGTGGTGGCCGGCTTTCCATATTTAATAGGTGGGTTAGAGGTGTTTTTGTTAACTTTTAATATTTTATTATATGGGTGTTTAGTAAATAAATAAACATAGAGGATATTTTTTTTAATTTTTAAATCTTACATCGTAATACCCACCAAATTTAACTTTATATCAAAATATTATTCTAAAAAGTATAAGAATAATATACCAAATGGACCCTTATATTTTTGACAAATTTTTTTTTGTAATAAACACCAACTGGTTTATAAAAATATCATTAATTTAACCTTCAAAAAACATATTAGCCTCTCAACATTTTTAACAAATTATGGTAAAAACGTGATTCCCTCCAAACTTAAATAGAATAATTTAGCGATTTGTAAAAAAATAAGAGTTAAAGATCGTATTTCTTAAAGCAGATGAGATGATACTTACTACAAAAAGGTCAAACACACTACTAGTTTACTATAAAAAAAAAAAAAAAATCTCATGTTATTAAAACATTTTACTGAAATAAAGTGTTAATTAAATTTGTTAGACCTTTTGTTATTCATGTATCAGCTCATTTTGTTTTCTCACATGACGTCTTTTAGTATAAATTCATCTATTTTGTGTCGAAAGTGTTGAAAACGCCTATATTAGATTTTTTATTTATAATTTTATAAGAGGATATTTTTAAACAGGTTTCTAATATTTACAGGGATATTTTTAATACTTTTTAAACAAAGTGGATGAGATTGTTACTAAGCAATAGTAGAAGAATGAAACGAATCCTTCACTTAGTGTCTCAAAGAGGGTCATTCTAATTGACTCTCGGTTTTCGTTGTATATAAATCTAGAGGGTATAAGGTCATTTCAAGTTTTATAACCTCAAGGTGATTATTGAAATTAAAAAATTAATGTGTACCTGTAGGTAATATCCCAAATTTCTCGGGTAAAATGGTTATTTAATTTTTGTAATTTCAAGGTGATTGCTGAAATAAAAAAATATGGATTTAATGCGGTACAGCTTTCACAATTCGCCGTCACGTTCGATGCAAGCATTTACTGAGTCAAATGATAATGGCCACCATGTGATGGTGCTAATTATCTCGAGACCTTCATATTCTACCTTCGCTCTTTCCATCTTTATCTTCATCATTCACTTCTTCTCTTTCACTTTATTTCTCTCTCACCCCATCAAATGGTTGAACCAGAGGATCTGATTCACGATTATTGGCCTTTCGAATCAAGAAAATCCACTGTGAAAAACATGTGGGATGCGTTGAAAGATGTCAATACCTCCATGATGGGAGTTTCCGGCATGGGTGGAGTGGGGAAGAATACGTTTGTGAAGGGAGTTGGTAGGCAAGCCATGGAAGATCTCTTCGTTGAGGAGGTGGTTTTTGCAGAGGTAACAGAAACTCCAGACGTGAAAGCCGGTCAACCAGATTTGGCAGATAAGTTAGCAGTTGAAAGATTTAAGAAGGGGAAGAAGATCCTTTTAATTTTAGATAATACTTGGGAAGATCTTGATCTGAAGACTGTTGGAATTCCTTCTGGAGCTTGGAGCCTCTTCGGTCAGACGGCAGGTAATTAAATTAATTATAGGATTTTCAATTTTTCTTATATATTTAATTTGTATTGTTGCTTTGCATGTATTTACTATAAATGGATCTTATAATTTATATCTGTTCACATATTTATGATAAAAATTAGATGAAACTTTGGAATATCTATTCATAGGATTTATATTGTTGCTCAATATGTAGATACTGGTCTTTGTATTAGCTCTATAAAGTGTTACAATTGTATCAATTATAGAAAATATTATAAATGAATATAAATATTTTAGTGCATGTTACAACCAATATTTTGTTGTGATAATGATATTGTCTTTTTAAACTTGAACCACTGTATTAAATTCCTGGCTATGTTCCTCAATTTAGGCCTTGACAGAATGAAAAATTTGAATGACCCATGGCTATGTCCCCAAATTTACTCCACATCCTTTGTGAAAACTTTATATTTTTGGGAGCTCTTAACTTATGGTTTTGCATTCCTGTGCAGGTGATGTTATTGAATCACTTGGACTGAATAGACTACATGATGTATGCAAGGAATGTGGAGGTTTGCCCATTGCTATTACTACTGTGGCAAGAGCATTGAAGAACAAGACAAATCGGCTTGAATGAGAAGATGCCTTGCGAGAATTGAGAATGCCTTCCCCAACAAAGTTCATACCATGGCTGGAAAATGGATATTCAAATATTTGGTTCAGTTACAAATACTTAACAGGTGATGAACTCAAGAAAACTTTTTAAATCTCTAGTCTAATGGAAATTGATACTTCATGTCAGACTTCTTCAAACATATCGTGGGTTTGGATATACTTGAAGGAGGTTAACCTTACAATGGAACAAGCGCGAAATAGACTAGATAAAGTGGTTGGTGAACTCAAAGACTCTTGTTTGTTACTTGTAATAATTCATTAATAGATGAGAGATTTTTGTTATTTAAAAATTTTAAGGAGATTTTGTTTTATAACAAACCTTAGGGGTCGATTTTAACCCCCAAGAAAATACTAAATTTGATGAGGAGTGTTATGTAATTTAACGAAAATAAATTTCTGTGCTTTTATTATTTTATTTCAAATGATCAGAATATCACGTGGAACTGGCATTAGCCACTGAGATTGAATTAAAAGCATCAGATATCTCTATGTAACAAATATGAGTCGTTGATCTCCATGTCTCTTTTTCGTGATTAAACGATTACTGATTGGTTGTCGAAACTTGTGACACAAAACAATTTCTTTAATTTGCAGGTGAAAATAAATTTCATAATATTACTCTTTTTTTTTTTTTTTTTTTAACTCTAAGCCTATACCAGGGAAAGTTAAACAGTGAAATTTGCTTATTCTCAAAATATTATTTAATTTCTTTTAAACCTTCTAAATTTATTAATTTACTAACACCCTCAATATTTTTTTATAAATTACAAAAATACCCCAGCAACCCACATTTACCAAATTCCAGCCACCATTGTAGGAAGCTGATTGGTATTTGATATAATGACACACTACTGGCTGAATATGACCGGTAGTGCATCGATCTAGCTTTTCTCGACTAGATCCACAGTGGATCTGACGGAAAAATGCCAAATCTACGACCAAAGATTTGGTCGTTAATGGCCAGAGCTTTGGCCATAGCCAGTCGTCAACGACGGCCAAGATATGGTCGTCATTAACGACCAAATACGGTCAGATTTGGCCGTCAATGGCCAAATCTAGCCATAGATTTAGTCGAAAAAGGTCATATCGGCGCACGACCGGCAAAATCCAGCCAGTCATGCGCTGATACGGCGACTCAGGCCATCCTCCGGTGGTGGTGGCCGGCTTTCCATATTTAATAGGTGGGTTAGAGGTGTTTTTGTTAACTTTTAATATTTTATTATATGGGTGTTTAGTAAATAAATAAACATAGAGGATATTTTTTTTAATTTTTAAATCTTACATCGTAATACCCACCAAATTTAACTTTATATCAAAATATTATTCTAAAAAGTATAAGAATAATATACCAAATGGACCCTTATATTTTTGACAAATTTTTTTTTGTAATAAACACCAACTGGTTTATAAAAATATCATTAATTTAACCTTCAAAAAACATATTAGCCTCTCAACATTTTTAACAAATTATGGTAAAAACGTGATTCCCTCCAAACTTAAATAGAATAATTTAGCGATTTGTAAAAAAATAAGAGTTAAAGATCGTATTTCTTAAAGCAGATGAGATGATACTTACTACAAAAAGGTCAAACACACGACTAGTTTACTATAAAAAAAAAAAAAAAATCTCATGTTATTAAAACATTTTATTGAAATAAAGTGTTAATTAAATTTGTTAGACCTTTTTGTTATTCATGTATCAGTTCATTTTGTTTTCTCACGTGACGTCTTTTAATATAAATTCATCTATTTTGTGTCGAAAGTGTTGAAAACGCCTATATTAGATTTTTTATTTATAATTTTATAAGAGGATATTTGACAGTTTTAAACAGGTTTCTAACATTTACAGGGATATTTTTAATACTTTTTGAACAAAGTGGATGAGATTGTTACTAAGCAATAGTAGAAGAATGAAACAAATCCTTCACTTAGTATCTCAAAGAGGGTCATTCTAATTGACTCTCTGTTTTCGTTGTATATAAATCTAGAGGGTAAAAGGTCATTCAGTTTTATAACCTCAAGGTGATTATTGAAATTAAAAAAATAATGTGTACCTGTAGGTAATATCCCAAATTTCGGGTAAAATGGTTATTTAATTTTGTAATTTCAAGGTGATTGCTGAAAAAAAATATGGATTTAATGCGGTACAGCTTTCACAATTCGCCGTCACGTTCGATGCAAGCATTTACTGAGTCAAATGATAATGGCCACCATGTGATGGTGCTAATTATCTCGAGACTTCATATTTACTTCGCTCTTTCATCTTTATTTCATATTCACTTTTCTCTTTCACTTTATTTCTCTCTCACCCCATCAAATGGTTGAACCAGGGATCTGATTCACGATTATTGGCCTTCGAATCAAGAAAATCCACTGTGAAAAAAATGTGGGATGCGTTGAAAGATGTCAATACCCCATGATGGGAGTTTCGGCATGGGTGGAGTGGGAAGAATAGTTGTGAAGGGAGTGGTAGGCAAGCATGGAAGATCTCTTCGTTGAGGAGGTGGTTTTTGCAGAGGTAACAGAAACTCCAGACGTGAAAGCCGGTCAACCAGATTTGGCAGAAATTTAGCAGTTGAAAGATTTAAGAAGGGGAAGAAGATCCTAATTTTAGATAATACTTGGGAAGATCTTGATCTGAGACTGTTGGAATTCCTTCTGGGCTTGGAGCCTCTTCGGTCAGACGGCAGGTAATTAAATTAATTAAGGATTTTCAATTTTTCTATATATTAATTTGTATTGTTGCTTTGCATGTATTTACTATAAATGGATCTTATAATTTATATCTGTTACATATTATGATAAAAATTAGATGAAACTGTGGAATATCTATTCATAGGATTTATATTGTTGCTCAATATGTAGATACTGGTCTTTGTATTAGCTCTATAAAGTGTTACAATGTATCAATTATAGAAAATATTATAATGAATATAAATTTTAGTGCATGTTACAACCAATATTTTGTGTTGATAATGATATTGTCTTTTTAAACTTGAACCACTGTATTAAATTCCTGGCTATGTTCCTCAATTTAGGCCTTGACAGAATGAAAAATTTGAATGACCCATGGTATGTCCCCAAATTTACTCCACATCCTTTGTGAAAACTTTATATTTTTGGGAGCTCTTAACTTATGGTTTTGCATTCCTGTGCAGGTGATGTTATTGAATCATTGGAGTGAATAGACTACATGATGTATGCAAGGAATGTGGAGGTTTGCCCATTGCTATTTCTATGTGGCAAGAGCATTGAAGAACAAGACAAATCGGCTTGAATGAGAAGATGCCTTGCGAGAATTGAGAATGCCTTCCCCAACAAAGTTCATACCATGGCTGGAAAAGGATATTCAAATATTTGGTTGAGTTACAAATACTTAACAGGTGATGAACTCAAGAAAACTTTTTAAATCTTAGTAATGGAAATTGATACTTCATGTCAGACTTCTTCAAAAAATATCGTGGGTTTGGATATACTTGAAGGAGGTTAACCTTACAATGGAACAAGCGCGAAATAGACTAGATAAAGTGGTTGGTGACTCAAAGACTCTTGTTGTACTTGACGAAATAGGCTAGATAAAGTGGTTGGTAAACTCAAAGCTCTCGTTTGCTACTTGACGAAATAGACTGGATAAAGTGGTTGGGAAACCAAAGACCTTGTTTGTTACTTGACGAAATGACTAGATAAAGGGGTTGGTGAACTCAAAGACTTTTGTTTGTTACATTATGAAATAGACTAGATAAGTGGTTCTTGACGAAATAGGATAGATAAAGGTGGGTGAACTCAAAGACTCTGTTTGTTATTTGATGAATAGGCTAGAATAAATGGTTTGTGAGCACAAAGACTTTGTTTGTACTTATGGTTCTAGTAAACAATTTTGATGTTGCCCTAACGGTTAGCTTTTGGCCGATGGTTGACTGTTGGACCTTGAATTTTTCTGAGTATGGAGGTTCTTTAAAAGTCCGGATAACTTTTCAAGGTTTGCCTACCATTGTTGCAGTCCTCGATTGGTCTCTTGATAAACCTTCAAACATTATGTTAATGCTTGGATTCTAGCAGGATTTAAAATGTTGCTATTATTGGAGAAATGAAGATACTCAAGTCATTTTCCTTAGCCTGCGAGATTCTTGTTATATAGGAGGTGAGTGATAGGCCAATTGACTCCACTAGTCTCGTTAGATTCAAGCAATTGGGGCAACTAGAAGCTTTTGCAGAAATGTAATATCAAGCTTATTTCGAATTAAGTGTATCAGGGGATGTCTATTTAATGGAAATGTAATATCAATGTTGAATGCTCTGCTAGATTTGCATTTTTGTTTATGCACATTCTAATGTGTAACATGTAGAAGTGTTATTGATTTAGTTCTATTTGCATCTATTTTTTTCTTGACTTTATCTCTTTGATTGAAAGAGGGATTGGATTTGATTAGGTCTGTGTTGAATCTATTGACCAAATGAATTGAAAGAAGTGCAACTAAGAATAGTTTCTTCAGAGTTTCATAAAATGATTAGTAAAAGACAGTAATAAGATTGATCAAGTGGTCAGCCCTCATTTATCAGTTAAACGTAGACTTGGGGGTTGGGTGGGTACGGCTAGGTAATCATGAGTAGGATCAAAGGGTAAATTTTTTGAACGGCTAAGGAATTGCACTACCAGTACGGGTACGGACACGTGGGTCACCCGTTTTACATATATTTCACTATTTTTCTCCAAATTTGTTTTAACTTTTTAATATTATGCAACACAACATAAATACTAAAGTAAATTAGAAAAGGGATAGATTCATTGTTTTTATTAAGCCTCACAGCTTGTAAACCATCACACATCAAGTAGAATCAAGTTAAAACAAAAAGAATTGTAGCCACATTACAAATGATAAATAAAATTACGCCAATGCATAAAATAAATAAATAAAAAATCAATTCAAAGGGATTGAACTGATTTTTTCATTCCTTACCAAAGCTCAGTACATTACAAATTTCTGAAGATATTCCACAAAAAAGATGGTGAACATTTTTTAGACATCTTTTTTCAGAAGGAAACACTATCCACAATTCCAGAATTAAATTAGTGGTTGGCAGTGAGTACAAACAGGAAGAGGAGGCAGGGAACAGACACTGCCACGAGAATCCCCACATAACTTCTCTTTACAGGAAACTGAAGAAAACAAAGATGATATGTACAGCGGTGAGGACTTGCTAGCTGTAAGTCTTGGTCACCAAAGTCTACAAGTAGATTCCAAACATAAAGCAATCAATTTGATAAGAACAATCGCAACGTCCAGGAAAACATCAAAATGGAAGGAAAGCAATACATATCTCAGAAGGTGAAAGCAATTGGAGAAGTAAAAGTTGATAAGACCAAATTAATAAGCAGCAACCATTTTATCTACGTGAGAGAGATGCAGAAGCAGACGTTGGGGGAGTTCAGTTCTTGACTTGAGAATGATCCTAATTGCTGAAAGGGACGCAACGTAAATCCCTATTGCATTTTTGGTTTTTTCCCTTTTTTTTTTAATTTACTTGCAATATTACTTGGGTACCCGTGGACCCGTTGGTACATACCGGTCTTACTTTGCCATATTAGTTAAACATTTGTGAGTGAGATGACAACTTAACACACAATTTTTTAAAGGTGTTCATAGAGGGTTCAAACCCCAAACTTATATAATGCCTTCTTGAGTTCAACCAAACCTTCCCTAACTTTGTGGAAAATTTTAAGCTATGATAAATACAGATCGAGCATTAATATTAATCTTTCCTACAAGTTCTTGTTATATTGGGTTGGTACTACATCATTTTGCTTTATTATGCTAAGCAAGCTAAGACAAGGCCTGCTTAGGGAGGATGTTAATGATGTATGACTTCAAAGTCAAGATTAATTAGAGTTAGTTTTATAAACTATAGTTAGTTAATCATAATTAAAGAAATATGTATAAATAGACAACACTCTGTCTATTTTCATTAAGTGCAAAGATTAATAAAACAAAATTCTGGTATGAAAATTTTGTTTTCTTTAGAGACGGCCTGATAACATCACATCATCCTGCATGACACTCAACTACTTTGAAAAAACCCAATGTCTTTGTCGTTTTTATTTTGGTCCCTCTACTATCCGTAAGAGCTTACTTAAGCATAACATCACCCTGCGTGTTCACTCAACCGTTAAATAAAGGGATAAACATACGAAGAGTCAAAGACAAAGCAGTCCACAACACCACTCATTAGCACAACTGTCAAGCTCACAGAAATTAATGGCAAGTTGGCAACAGTGAAGAGAATCAAGCTTGGCCCACAAGGGCTGGAGGTTTCAGCCCAAGGCTTAGGCTGCATGGGCATGTCTGCCTTCTATGGCCCTCCAAAACCTGAACCTGAAATGATCGCTTTGATCCACCATGCCATCAACAGTGGCATCACTTTTCTTGACACTTCCGATTTGTATGGACCTCACACCAATGAAATTCTTCTCGGCAAGGTTCACTCTTTTTCTCTCCTTCTTTACTTTCTTGTGTATGTTGTTCAGTTCCATCACGCTTAACTTGATCATACACCAAATAGGTTTAATTGCGTACATATCCATATATCCATTTGGTTAATTAGCCAATATATATTCTATAAGTATTGGACAAATCTTGGGGAGTTACTGAAGCTTTGTTATGCTGTTTTAGGCTATGTTTTTGGTTTAATATTTGTTTTCTTTGGCTTCGTAAAGGGTTTTAAACTTGATTGGTTTGCTCTTTGGTGTGAACGTTTTCCAGGCTTTGAAGGGAGGGATGAGAGAGAGTTGAATTGGCCACTAAATTTGGTGCCCGCTTTGAGGATGGCAAGTTGGAAATTCATGGCAAACCTGCTTATGTGAGGGCTTCCTGTGAGGGGAGCTTGAAGCGACTAGATGTTGATTGTATTGATCTATACTATATACAACGCATTGACACTCAAGTTCCTATTGAAGTCACGGTATGCCCTTTGTTATATATAAACTTTCAATTACTCTGCTTGTCGATTAGTATTGAATGTCTGAAATCATGTTTACAGTAACAATCTGATGTGGTAATGCATGAGTGTCTTTGTTACAAACTCACATCGGCAAACTCACTCTTCAAAATCGGATTTGTTATGAATTCACTGGATAGATATTGAACTCACCTCTTATAAGGCACCTTTAGAATACTGGCTTACTCTGACAATATAGATCGACGCCAGAAAAGATAATTTTGTATCTAGACCATCCTTCTTGCTCTGACGTGCACTTAGGCGTCGGTGTCCGCATCTGAGCAGGCCAATATTCGGATGATAAGGGGAGGATTAATAAACTACTCACTAATCCCAACTGTTTATTTGTTCTTTGTATGGATCCCTTGTTCTAAACAAGCTTTTTGTTAGGCACACATTTTTGTTCTTTTCTTGTGTGTTTTGAAAGACGGGGAACTGAAAAAACTAGTTGAAGAGGGTATAATAAAGTATATAGGTCTATCAGAAGCATGTGCTTTAATAATTAGACGAGCTCATGCTGTTCATCCGATAACAGTTATGCAGTTGGAATGGTCCTTATGGGCAAGAGACGTGAAGGAAAAGATTGTTCCTACTTGCAGGTAAGGCATATACATATTTTAATGGGGATAATTGAATTTATAAGAGTCAAATAGAAAGAGAGATTATAAAAAATAACCATATGAATTCTAATGCAATTTGGCTGATTAATTTCTTTGGGAACTTGGAATTGGTATTGTTGCATACAGTCCTCTAGGATGAGGATTCCTTTCATCAGGGCCTAAGTTGCTTGAAAACATTTCAAAGGATGATTCTAGACAGGTTTCTAAACAACAATACAATTCTTAATCTTTGTAATGTATTACATATCATTATAGGAAATACAACCTTCCTTGACGTGGAAAACTCGTCGGAATAGATCTTAATTAAGTTGGAATAATACATGTATTCCAACACAAATGGCCTAAGGAAAACGTTGCAAGGGCACATTGGGTTGCATGTTTTCCCAGTACTGTATCGTAACTTGATTTTTTATTCCGACACGATACTAACGTCTAAATAAGCATTTTATTGTGGCTTGTGATTAGGAATAGACCCACGTTGGACTCAATGGGAATTGATGCCCGCACTAAATCCAGTGTAGCCTCAAATTTTTTACTAATTATAAAGTATTTTTACATGTGTAATCTATGTTTGACCCCTTAAATTATTCAAGTTAAATCTAAGTTAATCAACTTTTATATTCCAAATTTTGCAGAAATTACCCAAGCTGCAACCTGAAAATCTTGATCATAACAAGAAGTTATTCGAGTGTGTTACTGAGATAGCAGCAAAGAAAAGATGCACCACATCACAGCTTGCACTAGCCTGGGTTCATCACCAAGGGGCTGATGTTTGTCCAATTCCTGGAACCACCAAAATCGAAAACTTCAATCAAAATATTAAAGCGTTGTCTGTGAAACTAACTCCAGAAGAAGTGGCTGAACTGGAATCTATTGCGGCAGCAGATGCTGTAAAGGGTGAAAGATATATGAGTGGCTTTGCTACGTACAAGAACTCCGAAACTCCGCCACTGTCTTCATGGAAAGCTTCTTGATGCCATGCATTTAGATAGGAGTGTTCGGTTCCGGGTACCCTGCACTTTTTGAAGGAATCAGAACCGGAACCAACGGTTCCTTGAAATTTGGAACCAGAACCGGAACCGACGGTTTCGGTTCCTAGGTACCCAGAACCAGAACTTGTAACAACGGTTCCGGTTTTGGGTACCCTGTAAAATTATATGACCTCCCAAAAGTTTTTAAAATCGTAAAAAAACCCTTAAAAACTTACAAATACCCCCCCACCTGACACTTGTTAACAAAAATAAAATTACAAATTATAAATTTAAAATTACAAACTCCATTACTTTGTAAATGTAGATTCTCAAAAGTTAAACCAACTTACTTTAAATGTTATGAAATATAAATATAAATGTATTCACATTACTTTTTCTACAAAAGTTTTTATTAACCCCCCTAATATTTAATTTTATTTTATATTAGTCTCGGTTCCTGGTTTCTGGTTCCGGTTCCGGTTCCGGTTCCTAACTATAGGAACCGGAACCGAAACCACACAATAACGGTTCCAAAAATTTGAAACCAGAATCTACCTATTGACGACTGGTTCTGGGTAGGAACCAGAACAAAACCCATGGTACTTGCTGGTTCCGGTTCCAACCGGTTCTTTTGAACAACCCTACATTTAGACATGAAAGAGAAGAAATTATTTTACTGTGAGGATAAGTATATTATGTTAAATTACTATGTTTGATATGGATAAGAAGCAGAGTGCAATATTTTTTTATGCAAGTTATAATCATAAACACTTTATCCTGTCCTTTTCACATTTTTATAATGAGTACTCGTTCATTTAAATAATGTAACCCTCTATCATCAATTCAATTTTCAAATTTATTAGTAATTTTATCAATTTAATCTCAAAAAAATAAAAGCTCAAACACACGACGAGTTTACTATTAAAAAAAAAAAAAAAAACCAGTGTTATTAAATTATTTCATTAAATTAAAGTGTTACTTAGCTAGACCTACTGTTCTCCTATTATATATATATATATATAGTTTTTTTTTTGCTATCAAGTTTAAAGTTTGAACGAAACAATTAAAATTAAATATAAGTTTTTGAATATTTAATAGGATTTTCTTTTCAAAGTTTAAAACCGTTGAATTTTGAGGTTTGATTTAATAATAAAATTCTCTTTAAATTTTCTATAAATAACAAAATACTTTAATTATAAATTAATAAATACTTTTTAAATGATCTATTTATTGTTTATTTCTCATGTGAGATAGTTTAGTGTAAATTCATTCATCTTGTTTCGAAAGTGTTATATATATAAGAGGATGATATTTTGAAAAGGATTTATGATATTGGCGGGGATATTTTTTAAATAAAATGGACGAAATTATTAGTAAGCAATAGTGAGAAAATGAAATAAACCCTTCTCTTAGTATCTCAAAGAGGGTTATTCTATTGATTCTTAGTAGCACTAGGGGCTCACCAATTGGTCGTGAGCGTTGAGATGCTTCTGAGTCAAATGAGTCGAGTATACCCATACTCAAAATCCAGCTCTATGCGCCAATCAAGCCCAAATTAATACTCGAACTCGCCCCTGACTCATTAGTTACAAGTCGAGTCTGGGCTCATGACTAGTCAAGCGTGAGCTACTCGACTCGACTACAACCCTATATAAATCTAGAGGGTAAAAAGTCAACTCAAGTTTTATAATCTCAAGGTGTACATTTAGATTAATTTCCCAAACTCAGAGGATAAAACAGTTATTTCATTTTTTGTAATCTCAAGTAGACCTCGCAAAACGGGTGGGTACAACCTAGTCAAACAGGTACAGGTCAAAACGGACTAAGTCTATACGGGTCCAAAATATTGGACCCATACCCTACCCTATGCGGTTACAGGACGACCTGTGGATACCTGTTTTTTCTTACTCCAGTTTTCAAATTTTGTAGTGACACCCTCACAATTTCTACAATTTTCATTTTTTGCAGTTACACCCCCACGATCAAATACATTATACTTCATATTCAATTCAATTCACCAAAAAAATTCACAACCAACTCAATTTCTCATCAATTTAAAACCAACAAACATATAGAAAACAAATACATAAAATCATAAACACTAAAACACAATAACACAAATACAATATTCTAATTACAAAAACACCCTAGACTAACATACAGATAGGGTCGAGGACAGTTCACATGAAAACGGGTCCTAAAATGACCGTTTTCAAAACGGGTACCGCGGGTATACGCCCGTTTTGCCGGGTCTAGATCTGGTTCTCAAGGTGATTGCTGAAATAAAACAAATACAGATTTATTGCGGTCCGATTCGTCGTTTACTGTCAATAATAATGGTCACCATGTGATAGTCACAATTATCTCGGAGCCTTCATATTCCACCATCACTCTTTCCATTTTCATCTTCATCATTCACTTCTTCTCTTTCACTTTATTTCTCTCTCACCCCTTCAAATGGTTGAACCAGAGGTGCTGATTGACGATTATTGGCCTTTCGAATCAAGAAAATCCACTGTGAAAAACATGTGGGATGCGTGGAAAGATGTCAATACCTCCATGATGGGAGTTTTCAGCATGGGTGGGGTGGGGAAGAACACGTTTGTGAAGGAAGTTGGTAGGAAAATGTGTTATGAGATTATTCTCTCTTACTGTCAATTTCAATCTGATAGTTTTGATTTAGAATTTTTTTTTTTTTTTTTTTTTTTTTTTTTTTTTTTTAACACCCCAAAGAACTTTTTGTTTCATCTCTCTGTTTGATGCTTTATAAGTTTGCCTGTGCAGGGATGATGATTATGTCTCAAATCTTCTTCTGTTAGATAACAGCACGCGTATGTTAGCATCCCGACTCACCACTGTAATTTCTTTCCCTCACCATGCTTCACTTATTATTATCTTCCAATTCTTCATTTTAATTTCTTATTTTGTCTAATTTTGTGCAGTATCTGTGTAGAAGAAAACCCGGACATGTTCAATACCGTAACTTCTCATCCCACAATGCCGAAGGTGGATTTTTTATTTTTGTGATTTTCTGGGTAATAATTTGATTCGCTAATGCTCTCTTTGGTTGCAAAGAAATTAAATTTTTTCTTTTTAACTTGATTGATTTGTAGATGAGCTCCCCTTATTGAGCAAGAAAGGGATATATTCTGAAATAATGTGCGGGGGGGTTTGGATCGCTGAGATTGCAACTTATTTTGGTTATACCTTTCATGGGTATGAGAATTGATTGTCGACTAGCTTATGGTATTAAAAGTTCCTGCTATGGAAGGTTTCTTAACTTAATCTTATGATTTGCTAAAATTAGGAGATGATTGGAATATGCAACACACTGTCTCACTTTTGAAATCCAATTATAAACAAATGGGAGCTCATAAATTAGCCCGTTATACAACAGATGGTAAAGATTTGTTTTTTTTTTTTTTTTAATGGCATTATTGTTATGATTGGAGATTGTTTATGGACTGCATCTGATTTTGTAATTTTGGTTTGGAGTGGCAGAATTCTCCTTATGAAGCATTAGTATCCTGGAATTCATGACCCCTGACCAGCAGAGATCCTTTCCAGCATAGTGGGGATGAGTTACCTCAAAGCATTCTGATTGTCGATTAGGAGGTCAGGTTCAATGGTTTGGTGAAGCTACTCAAAATCAAAAGTCAAAACAGAGTGTAAGTGTGCATACTGTTTGCTTCTTGCTCTATAAAAAGGTGGAGAAAGATTAGACATTGTTTAGTGATGTTATCAGTCCTAATTGGTATTATTAGAATGATGTTATAGGTAGCATTGGATATCCAGATTGAACTGTCTGGATTTTGATTTTGGATTTATTGTATTTGTTATAGTGTTCTTTGGATTTCAGATTTTATTTTGTTATAGGGTTTATAATTTCCAATTTTTTCAGGTCTGATGATGTCATGCTTATGTCAGTATGTCGACATCACTGGTCTGACATGCCAGTCAGACGGTTCAAGGGGCCGGGTTACACGAATATTGTTAACGAATATAAATATTTTAGTGCATGTAATAACCAAAATACTGTTGTTATAGTTATGCTGTCTGTTTTAACTTGAAATTTGTATTAAATTCCTGGCTATGTTCCTAAATTTAGGCCTTGACAGAATGAAAAAAATTGAATGAACCATGGCTATGTCCCTAAATTTACTCCACATACTTTGTAAAAACTTTATATTTTCGGGCGCTTTTAACTTATGATTTTGTATTCCTGTGCAGGTGATGTTATTGAATCACTTGGTTTGAATTTACTACATGATGTATGCGAGAAATGTGGAGGTTTGCCCATTGCCATTGCTACTGTAGCAAGAGCATTGAAGAACAAGACACATTGGTTTGAATGAGAAGATGCTTTGTGAAAACTGAGAATGCCTTCTCCAATAAAGTTCACACCGTGGCTGGAAAATGGATATTCAAATATTTCGTTGAGTTACAAGTACTTAACAGGTGATGAACTGAAGAAAACTTTATAAATTTCTAGCCTAACGGAAAATGATACTTCCATGTTGGACTTGCTCAAACATATCGTGGGTTTGGATAAAATTATTTAGAATAATGATATATTAAGTTACCTTTTTTAATATTCCATTTAAAAAAAAAAAAAAAAAACTATTTAGTCATACTTTTTATAGACCAAAATGCCCCTATCTAAAACTATTTTCAAAAATTATTTTAAAAGTACACTAAAAATCCTTAGCTATTGAGTAGGTTTTTTTTTTTTTTTTTTTTTTTTTTTTTTTTTTTTTAAATGTCGAAATTGGGAGATTACAATTTTATGAAATATTAATGGTATTAGCACACCAAAAGGCATCTACTATTTTGTCTCATAGATAGAGTGCATGATATAATTTAATTTTTTTATTTTCCGAATGAAATTAACATGATCTCTAGAAAACATATTCAAACCATACATATAAAAAAAATGAAATTAGTGTTATGTTATGTTTTGCTTTTCTTTTTGTATTATTATTATTCTCTTTTTATTATTTTGGATGTAATAAGAGCTTACATAAGCATAGCATCATTCTCCAAACAAATTCAACCATCAATTTTCTTTTTATATAAATTCTTTTTACGGGGGTTTAATCTACAAGAATGGGAAACTATTCTTACCATAAGTCAAAGTTGATGAATTATCTCCTAAAAACCCTCAAATTGTTTATTCATTTACCTAGCTCCCTTTACTAATAGTAAGTGCTTACTTAAGCTGTCTTCTCAAATTAAAGAGGATCCACAATAACGTAACATAATTTGGATAAACATTAGATACATTCTAGCGTAATGGTTCGAATCCACAATGAGAAATTCTCAAAAGAAATATTTTATAAATTTTATTAATCAAAATTTCAAATAACTTAAACATAATAAGTCTATTTTTAATAACCCTAAACAAATAAGAAATTCAAATAAATAAAAAGAAATAAATTGTGATTATAATTTACAGAAAATTTGTCCGATGTCAAAAAGTTTTACAACGAAGATTAGTCATTTAGATTCGATGCGTCAAAGTTGGATTATTAATGCCAAATATTGGGATAATAATTTTTTGCTAAATATATTTTAGATAAAAGGATTAATTTATAATAATTTTTTATATAATAAACTTTTTGTTACAATGGGTCCAAAGTTGAGGAGAACACAAGAACATTGACGTCGATAATTTTTTAAAAACTCTAAACTCTTTGTTTTTCTTACTTCCGTCCCTGTACTATCCTAAGAGCTTACCTAATCATGTCATCACCCAGCCAACCCACTCAAACACTATAGAAGGCGATGCAAAGGCAAAGCAATCCACACGACACAACCCCACTTCATAGTCTCACTCTCACTCTCAAACTCATTTACTCTACCTCAAAATTCAACCAGAAACACAGAGAAATTAATGGCGACAGTGAAGAGAATCAAGCTTGGCTTACAAGGCCTGGAAGTTTCAGCTCAAGGCTTAGGCTGCATTGGCATGTCTGCCTTCTATGGCCCTCCAAAACCTGAGCCTGAAATGGTCGCCTTGATCCACCATGCCAACAACAGTGGTGTCACTTTACTCGACACTTCTGATGTATATGGACCTCACACCAATGAAACTCTTCTCGGCAAGGTTCACTCTTTTTCTCTCTTTCTTTACTCTCCTGTGTGTTTTGTTGAGTTTCTTCAGGCTTGACTTGGTCATACACCAACTGGGTTTGGATAATGAACAGAGAATTTTTTAAAGTTTGTGTTTTTTGTTTTAGTCTAATTGCTTAGAGTCCATGAAACCATATGGTTGGGAAACGAAGGGGAAAAGATGGATGAGATGATGTTTTCATAATTTAGACGAGGTATTTGATGAATTTTTTAAGCCAATATGTTACATTTTTGGGAAGTTAGTGAAATTTTGTCATGTTGTTTTAGGTTTATTTTTTAGTTGTGGATTTGTACAGGGTTTTAAACTTGATTGTGGTTTGTTATTTGATGTGAATTTGAGCAGGCTTTGAAGGGAGGGATGAGAGAAAGAGTTGAATTGGCCACTAAATTTGGTGTCAGCTTTGCGGACGGCCAGATGGAAATACATGGTGATCCAGCCTATGTGAGGGCTGCCTGTGAGGCGAGCTTGAAGCGGCTAGGTGTTGATTGTATTGATCTTTACTACCAACATCGGATTGACACTCGAGTTCCGATTGAAGTCACGGTTTGCCCCTTGTTAAACTTTTACTCTGCTTGTTAATTAGTATTAGTAATTGAAATCACATTTAGATTGTTATTTGTGCACATTATGATGCTGTTAAATCAGTTTGACCAATTGAACCGCCTGCAGGTAACAAGGTTCCTTTTAAGTTTCTTTCAAATTGAATGAATGAGTGTACTTACACTGATCAGAGGTTCTTCCTCTTTCTCTTGTTCTGTATTGGAAATGTGTGGCCTGTATCCAGGCCTTATTGATGTGTACTGGAGACTACAAGTACTCTATTTAGGTGAGTGTCGATACGGTAGAGATCTGGCCTGCAGCGGAGAATGCCTTTATGTCTGTTTGTTGGTAAGACGAGGGAGATGTTTATATATCATTTAGTTTTGTTCGAGGAATATTACAGACACTATAATTAAAAGGCGGTCTCGCATGAGGGTTATAGTTCATTGAAGGGAGATAAAATATAGTTATAAATGGGACAGTCATTAGGAGTTTCTCCCTTAACTCAGACCCTCTCCTAATCTAAGCTTACTGAAACATGTCCATTCTTGTGATATTTTAATTCGCAGCCGAGATGCTTTTAATTGTCATTCCTTTGTGTTGTTTATAAAATAAAAGCTCATATCAAGAAATTATTCTCTAGTGAAATATTCGTGGGGAAACTCAAATCATCATTGGATCATTATTGATAGCATCTGAACTCACAGTGTAATATTTTTTGGGTTGTGAGCATCAATCATTGTTGACTTTCACCTATATTTTTTACACTAACAATCTGAACTCACAGACTTCAACACTGTGTCTTTTTTTTAACAATTGGCTCTGTTCCTTCTATTGATCACATCTTCTGAACAAGCTTCCTGTGAGGCATACACTAATTTTTGTTTCTTTTCTTTTGTGTTTTGAAAGATTGGGGAACTCAAAAAACTAGTTGAAGAGGGAAAAATAAAGTATATTGGTCTATCTGAAGCATCTGCTTCAACAATTAGACGAGCTCATGCTGTTCATCCAATAACAGCCGTGCAGTTGGAATGGTCCTTATGGTCACGAGACGTGGAGGAAGAGATTGTTCCTACTTGCAGGTAAGGCATTAATGGGACTAACTAATTGCTTTGGGTGGAATAAAAAAGAGATTATAAAAAATAAATAACTATTTGAACACTAACACAATCTTGCTGATTTTTCAGGGAACTTGGCATTGGGATTGTTGCATACAGTCCTCTAGGACGAGGATTCTTTTCATCGGGGCCTAAGTTGCTTGAAAACATTTCAAAAGATGATTCTAGACAGGTTTGTAAACCACAATTAATTGTTAGTATTTGTAATGTATTACATTTATATTCAACACACGTTTTCTTGCACAACGCTTTGTGCAGTGCGGGGCAAGCAGGCTAAGTCTTGTGGGGAAAGGGGTGGTAATACTATTGTTGTTCTCATGTGACCTCTCCTCTAACATAACAAACTTTATATTCCGAATTTTGCAGTATTTTCCCAGGTTGCGACCTGAAAATCTGGAGCATAACAAGAAGTTATTTGAGCGTGTTAATGAGATTGCAACAAAGAAAGGATGCACCACATCACAGCTTGCACTAGCCTGGGTTCATCACCAAGGAGATGATGTTTGTCCAATTCCTGGAACCACCAAAATTGAAAACTTCAATCAAAATATTAAAGCGTTGTCTGTGAAACTAGCTCCAGAAGAAATGGCTGAACTTGAATCCATTGCTGTAGCAGATGCTGTAAAGGGTGAAAGATATATGAGTGACTTTGCTACTTACAAGACCTCCGAAACTCCAACGCTGTCTTCATGGAAAGCTTCTTAAAGGGATGAAGACATGGATATTATGCCTTCTCCATGCTTTTATCTACTTTCTGCAAGCCTAGGAGTGTGTTGCATCCCTCCATTTTGTTGCGATATAAGTATTTTGTGTGAAATTATTATGTTTGATATGGATAAGAGCAGAACCGTGTAATGTTTTTGTTAGAAACTAAATAAAGATGCAAGGGCGACTATTATATAGCACCATAGAGCATATTATAAGTTTCACATTGTAAGGTTTCATATTTTACATTGTGCTTCATTTTGAATTATTTTGCATTTATTTCATTTGCCCCATGTAATATAAATACATCTGTTGTTATTGAAAAGTATTATATACTTTGGTTGTGTCACGCCCCGCACAGGGTGTCCCTACCCCCATCGGATTCGGGCGCTCCTAGGGACTTGGGATCCCAAAAGGAGGGTGATCAATTTTGAAAGCAAAACTGGAAACAGAAATTTGAATAAATCCAAGTACAAAAATTGCATCAGAGTCCTCTAGAGTTTTACAAATCATGCAGATGAATATGCGCCAGTGGGCCAACCTAGAGAGTAGTTAGAGGAGGCGATGGGCTGTGCTAGTAAGGCCCACAATTTTTCATATGGGTCGTGCCATGGGTTTATGATTTGGCACGTGGGTCGGCATGACACAACCCATGAATTAAAAAAAATAAAAAAAATTAATACATCTATTGCAAGCCCACGAAGGTACGACACAACGAGGCCCACCTGGTCATGAGCCGTGTTGTGGGCGTTGAGTTTTGGTTGTCTTGCACAACACCACATGACCCCTATTTTTGCATGCCACGGCCCATGATACGGTGGGCCTTGAAAATTTGGGCATAGAACGGCCCACTGCCACCTCTAAGCATACTGTAAGCCCCTCGAAGCCATGCATTTAGACATGAAAACGAAGAATTTATTTTGCTGTGAGGATAAGTATATTTTGCTAAATTACTATGTTTTGGTATGGATAAGAAGAAGAGTGCAATGTTTTTGTTTCAAACTAAATAAAGTCAGATGCAGTTATAATAATGGTTTTGGTAATGTCTCAATTGTTATTTAAAAATTTGTTGTTTTATCCTTCTTCAGTTAAAGTTAGCTCTGGATGGGTGGAAAAGTTTCATTTTTGAAACTTTTCAGGTGAGAAAGTGTCTTTAGGGCAGACCTTGGGTGGGAAAATGTCGTTAACTCAAACTTTATAGTAATCTACTAAAATGAAGACATAACCAAGTTAATTTAAAATTGGATGGAATAAAATCAATTTGTTTCCTATTTTTTTCTTAAATTTAAACTTTAAAGCCATTTGAAATTGTATATATAATGTAATCTGACTAGATATTGTTATGATACTAAAACTCTTTTCACCATAAGAAAATTAGTATTTAACAATCCAAAAAAGAAAAAAAAAGTTTGAAAAATAAATAGGCATTTTATGGGAAACTAAAATATATAATCATTTATATGGTTTCAGGACTATCTAATTTTAACCACTATAGTTTCTAATTACTCTGTTTCTGCTTAATCAAAGGTCGTATAACTGAGACCATGGTCAAGAGCAATTGACCACAGGGTTCTCGTTATTTGGCTACCGGATAAGCTTACTTTCTTTGGTTGCTTTTTTGGAACTTAAAGCTTAGTAATCTCTTAGGGGTAGAATTACATTACTAAAATGCTCCTTCAAATGTATTCTTCATGTATGAACGATTTAAAAATAAATAAAAACACTCTTTAGGTTTGTTAATTTAGTTAAACACCTCTAATAATAAAAAATTTACAAATTAATAAAAACACTCTCACCCACCTATATTTATCAGATTTTAAACGATTTCGAACATTTTTCAAACAGCTTGTTTTACTAATTGAACGATTTTGAATGGTGATTCTATGTTCGTTTGTGTTCGAACACTATTTCAAACAACTCATTATGTTTATCGAACGATTTTCGAATGGAGGTTTTCGTTCGTATTTGGTTTGTTTGCAGCCCTACCGTTGGTCAATCACTCAGCGTAAATGGGACTGACTCTGATACTATAACAAGATCAATCAAGATTACAAAGAACTGTGAACTATTACTTCAGAGCAAGGGCAATCTGTAGCAAGAAAACAGAGAATCGAAAATAATGTTTGTTCTTCTTATTCAACAAACTGGAGTACATTTCTTTTATACTACAATATCAGTAATCCGGGTAAAAAACAATCACAGCCGGTAGCTCACTTTTTTTAAGAAACACAAATTGAGCATGTGTAGTCCGTCAGATCTGCTATCTTTTTTTTTTTTTTTTTTTTCAGTTACCAGAGCTTTACACAAACAAGACACCAATTCTTTTGAGCAGGAAACTTTGAGTTAACGTCTTCAATAACTGAGCTTTGAATGAATCAATCTTTGAAGTTTTCAGCTTTCATAAAACTACCTGCTTTATTTCTAACAAACCTGAATTTCTTCAGGACTTGGAGTTTGCGCATTATCCTTGATAGGTAGAATTACATTACTAAAATGCTCCTTCACATGCATTCATCATGTATGATTATAATCAGATAGTTAATAGTTTCTGCTTATACTTTTAATATGTTCAAAATGTCGTGAAAGATTCGGTAAACTTCCAATGAAACCATCTTACGAGTTTGACTAACTGATCTTATAATGATATCATTGTTTCATTTTCATTTGATTCGCTTCTTCACATGTCATTTTCAATCTGTACTACTGTGTAGTTTTTGCAGTACTCTTCTTGTCCTTGTGTCTATGTTTCATCTCCATTTGGTTTTCTTGACTCAGTTTTTAGGAAATTTGAAAGAGGGTTTGGGTCTGTGTTTTTTATTTTAATATCTCTCATGATTCATTGGTTAAAAAACTCTCTAGTTTCAAGTTTTCTTGACCTTGAAATTGGTCAAATCCATTCCCAATGTGTTTGTTGTTTTACTTTGGTCACTTTATTTATTACCAATGTCTTGTTGTTTTTACTTTGGTCCCTCTACTATCCGTAAAAGCTTACTTAAGCATAACATCACATCACCCTGCACGTACATTCTACATTGTACACTCAAGTAATATTAGAAAACCCCAATGTCTTTGTGGTTTGCACTTTGGTCCCTTTACTATCCGTAAGAGCTTACTGAAAGCATAACATCACCCTGCGTGTTCACCCAACCACTATATAAAGAGAGAAACATACGAAGAGTCGAAGACAAAGCAATCCAAAACACAACTAATTAGCACAAGTCTCAAGTTCACAATCACTTTAATCACTATCGAAAGTCAATCCAGAAACACACAGAAATTAATGGCAGCAGTGAAGAGAATCAAGCTTGGCTCACAAGGGCTGGAGGTTTCAGCTCAAAGCTTAGGCTGCATGGGCATGTCTTTCTTCTATGGCCCTCCAAAACCTGAGCCTGAAATGATCACCTTGATCCACCATGCCATCAACAGTGGTGTCACTTTTCTTGATCCTTCTGATGTGTATGGACCTCACACTAATGAAATTCTTCTCGGCAAGGTTCACTCTTTTTCTCTCTTTCTTTACTTTCTTGTCTGTTTTGTTGAGTTCCACCATGCTTAACTTGATCATACACCAAAATGGTTTAGTTGCATACGTATACGTAAATCCATTTGGTTAATTAGCCAATATATATTCTATAAGTATTGGACAAATCTTGGGGATTCAGTGAAGCTTTGTTATGCTGTTTTAGGCTATGTTTTTGGTTTAATTTTTGTTTTCTTTGGCTTCGTAAAGGGTTTTAAACTTGATTGGTTTGCTTTTTGGTGTGAACGTTTTCCAGGCTTTGAAGGGAGGGATGATAGAAAGAGTTGAATTGGCCACAAAATTTGGTGCCCGCTTTGAGGATGACAAGTTAGAAATTCATGGCGATCCGGCTTATGTGAGGGCTGCCTGTGAGGGGAGCTTGAAGCGACTAGATGTTGATTGTATTGATCTATACTATATACATCGCATTGACACTCATGTCCCTATTGAAGTCACGGTATGCCCTTTGTTATGTATAAACTTTCAATTACTCTACTTGTTTACTAGGATTGATTGTCTGAAATCATAAGTACACTAACAATCTGATATGGTAATGCATTATTAGTGTCTTTGTTTTTTTTACGAATTCACTGGATAGATATTGAACTCACCTTAAAAACCGGCTTATGAGTCACCTATAGAATACTGGCTTACTCTAACGATACAGATCAGCTCTAGAAAAGATTAGTCTGTATCCTGACCAACGTACCATCTCGCTCTGACGTGCACTTTGATGTCGGTGTCTGCATCTGAGCAGGCTAATATTCAGGTGATAAAACCTCTCCCCTTTTGGCCGGATGGTAAGCTCTTCAACCACTGGATTAGTTATATCCAAGAATCTTGTGTTTGAGTCACGAAAGAAACAATTACAGGATTTACCCAAAAAATATTTGGGTGATAAGGGGAGGATTAATAAACTACTCATTAATCCCATAGTTAATAAATGTTGGATCCTAAAAGTCTTGCATTCCAATTGTTTATTTTTTATTTTTATGGATCACTTGTTCTGAACAAGCTTGTTGTTAAGCATACATCTAATTTTTGTTTGTTTCTTGTGTGTTTTGGAAGATGGGGGAACTGAAAAAACTAGTTGAAGAGGGCAAAATAAAATATATAGGTCTATCTGAGGCATGTGCTTCAACAATTAGACGAGCTCATGCTATTCATCCGATAACAGCTGTGTAGTTGGAATAGTCTTTATAAACAAGAGACGTGGAGGAAGAGATTGTTCCTACTTGCAGGTAAGGCATATATATATTTTAATGGGGCTAATTGAATTTAGAAGAGTCAAATAGAAGGAGAGATTATAAAAAATAACCATATGAATTCTAATGGAATTTGGCAGATTAATTTCTCAGGGAACTTGGGATTGGTATTGTTGCATACAGTCCTCTAGGAAAAGGATTCCTTTCGTCAGGGCCTAAGTTGCTTGAAAACATATCAAAGGATGATTGTAGACAGGCTTGTAAACAGCAATTCGATTCTTAGTCATTGTAATGTATTACATATCACTACAGGAAATACAACCCTCCTCGACATGGAAAATTCATCTGGATAGACCCTAATTGTGTTGGAATAATACATGTATTCCAACACTCACATGGCATAAGGAAAACGCTGCAAGGACATATTGGGTTACATGTTTTCAAGTGCTATGTCGTAACTTGGATTTTTTATTCTAACATGGTACTTACGTCTGAATAAGCATTTTATACTACCACTTGTGATCAGGTTCAGATCTACCACGGATCTGGCCGGAAAATGCCAA